ATGCTTGAGTCCATTTATGTATTTAATATAAATAGTTTTTTTAATATTTTTATTCAGGGTTGTATTATTTTAGTGATTTGTGACTGCTTAAGTGTAGTTTCACAATAGTTAAGTCTAAGGTGTATTAGATGAGAGAAAGATAAAGTAATTGGAGTCAGTGGCCTACCTTATTATGAGAAAGCAAGCAATTAAAGAAGATATGAGTATGGAGAGTAATTAATAAATCTATTGTATTTTATTTTAATTTTGTGACTAATTAAAACTCCTAGTTTTGGGCTAATTATGTGAAGCTTTAATAATTACTAATGTAGAATATTAATATTACATATCTACCACCCTTATACAACTTTAATATCAAATATATCACTCCTCTAATTCATTTCTACCATTCATACCATCTTATAAACTTTAATATTTCATTTCATACATCTAAACTTGTTTTATGGATTCTATGCATGTAATATTAATGTTTTGAGTGTTAGATACATAAATAATATAAAATAAAGTGGTATGTATGTAAATCCCCCTTTTTATTAATGTTCCTGAACTTGCTTTGAAAATTTTAGAAGTCATTCAAAATTACATCTAAAAAAAACTCTCATTTGTCTAAGGCTTCATTTGGGACGGCTTTCTTACTACTTGAAATTATTATTTTTTCATTAAAATTTTTAATTTTTATACTAAAAATTAACTTAAAAAAGCTGTATAAAAGCCATCCCAAATAAAACTAAATCTCCTAAAAAATTATCAAAAGGTTTAGGAGAGATCATACTTTTTTTCCTTGAAAGGAAATCAATAACTCTCATGCAAAAGTTATTATTATAAGCGATGATGTTGAGCTCTTATGTTCATCTTGTTTGCTTAAGTTACATGGACAAGTTATATTATAAGGTCTTTGCATTTATAATATCCATATACTTACACTGATCATATTTGTGAAACCAGTCAAGTAAAAAGTTTAATGAACACACTAGATAAACCATAGCTATGGTGGGCATCAAAGGAGTCTATAATAGGCAACATCTTCAAAAGAGATGCAAAGCATTTTAGTTTAAGATGTTCCTTATAATATTTGATTTTAGTTTGTTACAAATTTCTAGAACATTTTTTATTTCTCCAGGTTTCTACTTGAGTATTTTATATAATGTGATGTCAGAAGAGTTGAGAGATTGATGAATATTATCTTTTTTTTAAAGCTTTGAAGCTTCGTGTTTATACCTGGATTGAGAATTCTTTCAAGCAGGTCTGATTCTTCTGACAATCACCACATCATAAAGCCTCTTAAAAAATTGTTTTAGAACATAAGCTAATTTAGCTCCCTTCAATTTCTCTTAAACTAGATGATGGAGCTCATCATGAAGGCCATGAGGGATGTTAGTGAGGTGTGATTTTTTTTAACTGTGAGAAAATAAGTTCATAAGAAGAAAAAGGCTACTACGATAAATGTGGATTCTTCACAGGGTTGCTTCGGATCACTGTTCGATGTAGTTGAAGATTTTCAATGTGATGGAGAAAGCGGAGTACTTACAAAGGTTTGAAGATGTCTGGGTTTCTTACCCAGCATCTGCAGCTATTGTTAAGAAGATATGGAACAAAAGCTATGGTGAAGAACCAATGGAAAAGTTAAACTTAAAATTCTACATAACATTGAAGGCTCTGTATTTTTGGAGCAAGGAAAAAAAATGAAAGCTTTGCATGGAGTGAAGGATAAATTGAAGATAGAAATCAATGAGCTGCAAATGGAAGAATCATTATCTGGGTTAAACAATGAGAAATTGGCTCTGCTTAGAGCAAAGGTACACGAACTGAATATTACTTGAGAATTAATTCATGGTGGAAACAGAGAGCCAAAATTAAATGGAGTGAAGGTGACAAAAATTCTAAGTTCTTTCATGCAATGGCCAACGGTAGAAGGAATCACAATGCTATTCACCAATTGAAAGATGAACAAGGCTGTTTGGTTGAGTCTGCAACTGATATTGAAAAGGTTTTGCTTTAGTTCTTTAGAAACAAATGGAGAAGTAGGGATTGCAAACTATATGGGTGGCCTGATCCGTTCTATAAGCTCATCTTAGAAGATGCCAGAGGCTTGGAAGCTGAATTTTCATTTCAAGAAGTGGAGGCTGTAGTCAAAGAACTCGGGTCTAATATTTCTCCAGGTATGGATGGGATAACTTACTCTTTTTTTAAACATTATTGAAAGACTATTGGTCAAGACGTTTGGAATGCAATTCTTTTTTTATTTAATTCTGAAAAAATGAATGAAGACTGGAAAAAAACATTGGTGGTTTTGATTCCTAAGTGTAAAAATCCAGCTATTCCATCCCAATACCGTCCTATCAGCTTATGCTTGTCTATTTACAAGGTGGTTGCCAAAATCCTCCTTAATAGACTTATGAAAGTTATCCACAAAATTGTTTCTGAAGAGCAAATGACTTTCATTAAAGGTAGATCGTTGTCAAAAAACATTTTACTGGTTCATGAATTGTTTAATAAGTTTAGATTTTCAAAATCTAAAAAAGGTTTGATTGCGATCAAAATTGATATGGAGCAAGCCTATGACAGTATGGCTTGGCCAACTATCAAGCAAGAATTAGAGCACTTTGGATTTCCCTCAAAATTTGGTAATCTAATTCTAGACTGTGTCATGGAGCCAAAATTTTCAATTTTATTTAATGGCACAAAGTCGGATTGGATTGAAGCCAAAAGTGGGCTTCGTCAAGGATGCCCACTTTCTCCTTATATATTCCTCCTTTGCTCGCAATTAATGTCTGATGAATTTCATAAAAATGGAATGGATTTGGGAGTTAAAGTGGCTCCTAATGCTCCTAGAATTAGCCACTTGATGTATGCTGGTGATATTTTACTGTTCTCGGAAGCAAAGCTGTGTCAGATGAAAAGAATAAAAAATATTATATACAGTTATTGTTCCTAGACGGAACAAGATGTTAATATGAGTAAATCCAATGTGTTGTTTGGTAAAATGGTAAGGAGAAGTGCCAAGAAGAAGATTTTGAAGCTTTTCAAATTCAAAGAAGCAAAGGAGTTTAACTATCTCGGTGTCAAAATGGCATGCAAGAGAATGCTATCCTCTGATTTTTCTCACATTATTGAAAAGATTGAAGGAAAACTTAATGTTTGGGGCAATAAATTCATCTCTCTAGCGAGAAGAATTGTGCTGGTTAAATCTGTTATTCTTGCTATACCGATTTTTTTTGTGACTCATTCTTTGGTTCCTATAAGCATTTTAAGGAAAGTGGACAAGATTTGTAGAGACTTTATATGGAATAAACCTGGAGGTGTTCAAGGTATGCATTATACTTCTTAGAGTGAACTGTGCAAACCAGTTTCTATAGGAGGAAGGGGATTGTGTTCTGCTGTTTCTGTTTCTGCATCAGGATCTCTCAGAGCAAAGTTTGCTTGGAGTCTTCTCTGCAACTCCAATTCTTTGCTTAACAGAACTATTTTAGCAAAATATGGGAATATGTGGAATGAAGGTTCAAAAAATAACAGATCTATCACTTGGAAAATTCTCTCAAGTGATATGAAAGCTCTCAAATCCTTGGTTAGATGGAGAGTTGGTTCCGAATCTCTATTGACATTATGAAAGATGTTTGGATCTTTAATAAATGTCTTGATAAATGGTCCACTTTCATTGCAGTTTCTAGTTCTGATGAAGAATTCCCAAATTTAAGAGAATTTATTAAGGATGGGAATTGGAGCCTGATTTTGTTAAGAAGATGGTTTGGGCAGTGTAATGTAAATTGCATTTCTCAAGTTCAAATTCATAACAATTGTAATGACCAATTATAGATGATTTCAAAGTTATCTGGGAAGACGATTTCGGCTATGTTAGCTAATTCTAATATGGCAGATAAGGATGAAGTTTACAGTTGGATAAAAGACCTTAAACTTTCTTCCCAGGTTGAGTGTTTTGGTGGCGTTTGCTTACCAATGCTCGACCAACTAACGATTTTTTATGCTATAGAAGAATGTTAAACAATCGCTTTTATCCAAGGGGGTGTTTGGAAGTTGAAAACACTAATCACTTAGTTAGGAATTGCTCTTTGATTATCTCAGTAACGACATTGCTCTTATCTTGGGGTTTCAATATCCCAACTATTTCTTCTATCAGCCAATGCATTGCTGAACTGAAAATTTTATCTGGTGAAAGTCGGTTCATTGGGAATTTATTCTGCTCTATGGTTTTTGTCTCTTGGAAAAGCAGAAATCAGTTCAAACATGGAGATGATGAATCCAGTGCAAGTTTCATTACTTCGCAGGCTATCAGTATGACTTCAAATGCATTGAACTTTGGCAATATTTCGGGAAACTGGGGTTCTAACCGGCCAAGGCTGATCTGTTCTCATTGGAATCCCCCTCCACCTAAGTGGATTAAATTTAATTTTGATGCAGCATTGTCACAATCTTATTTGGCAGGCAATGGTGGTGTATTTAAGGACCATAATGGGAGGTTTCTCTCAGCTTTTGGGGTTAAATGCTCTCATTGGGATATAAGAGCATTGGAACTAGCTGCTTTCCGACACTTGAAGGTAGTCATTACAGATAAAATGCTGGAAGCTAAAGGTATCTTTATTGAAGGCGACAATTTCAATGTCATCTAGCATCTTCAGAAATCTGTGGAACACTTGGATGGGAGGTATAGTGAAACTAATTTTGAAGACTTTATCTTTTCTTAAAGATTTTGGTTGTCATTTTTTATTTCTGTAATAGGAGTGCTAATAAGTTGGCATATTATTGTGCTAAATTAGCTTTGGATGGGGATTTTGTTTGGGATAACCTCACTTGTAATAAGGTGCCTCGTTGTTTTTTGTCGGTTTTGGTGGAGGATGGTGATAGGGGTGCTATCACCTAGTAGGTTGTATCTAGGTTGTTTTCTTCTTTGCCTTTAATGCATTTGGCATTTCTATAAAATTAAAAAAAAAAAAAAAAGACATTGTAATTAGTATTCACACAGAAAGAGGAAAGGAAGCCAAACAGCAAGGAAGGAATACTATGACATTTGGTAAGTTCACAACAGTGAGCAAATAAGAACAATGCCCAGCATAAGAGCAAACTAGAAACAGTTGGAAACAAGCAAACTGCTATCAATGCCACATATATATGAATTGCATAAATTCAAATCTGGAAATCAATTCTTCTTATGTTGGTTTCCAGATGATTGTTGTTTCAGCAATCATGGATGTTACAACGTAAGGATCCATATTTGATGCTGGCCTCCGATCCTCAAAGTAACCTGTAAATCCAAAAAAATGGTTCAGTTTTGCATCATAGGCTTTGTTTGAGACGACTTTTTGTTGTTTCTTAAAACAAATTTCTAGTATAAAAATTCTAATTTTTCTACTAAAAAATTGTTTTAAGAAGCAACAAAAAAGCCATCCCAAATGAAGCCTTAATCTTCCATAAAACTTCAACAAAAAAGTAAGCTTACCTTTGCCATTCTTTTCAGTGTCGCGGCCAACACGAACCGAAGCTCCACGATTCGCAACACCCTAGAAGTGTGGATATTTGGGAAGTAATAGGTAAAAATTTTGAAACGATTGGATTATCAAATGATCAATATGATTTTTCTTTATATTATCCATTATGCTATTAAAATTCAAGAGCTTACCCAAGAGAAAGTGTTGATATCAGCAGTCTCATGCCTTCCAGTGAGGCGCCGCTCATTGCCTTCGCCATAAGAAGCAATATGCTCCTTGTGCCTCAGGCCAAGTTTTTCAATTGCCTTCTTTATGATTTCATAACCTCCCTCTTCCCTCATGGATTTTGTACTAAAAAGCCAAAAAGACAACAACTTAACTATTTTTCAGACTTATGGAATCAAATGTAAGCAAAAGAACAGCTTTTTGGATTCTTCATATACGATTCAGAAAACCATTATCAATTAGGATCAAACCTGTAGTTAGTGTGCGCACCAGCACCATTCCAGTCTCCCTAAAGCAAAAATATAATTCAATAAATAGTATAAATTTTGAATAGAAAAGCAATTTATTTCATTGATGATTAAGACTTTGTTTGGAATAATTTTCTTACTGCTTCTTAAAATAATTTTCTAGTACAAAATTTTTAATTTTTGTACTAAAAAGCTGCTTTAAGAAGCAATAAGAAAGTCATCCCAAACGAAGCCTAAAAGTAGCTCTATGATCTTTTGTTCGACAAGGAACCATCAGCAATTTCCAACCTGGATGGGCTTCGGGTCTAATGAAAGTACCACACCAGCAATTTCAGTTATCCTCTGTTTACATAAATAAGCAAATAGTAAGCAAGATAATAATAGCGTATCCAATTTCATAACATAAATTCCACACTGCAGAAATTTTGTTTATCCATTGTTTTTACCTCCAGAATGTATCGAGCAACCCACAACTGATCACCAGCAGAAATGCCAACGGATGGGCCAACTTGGAACTCCCACTATAAAAATAGTATAGCTTTTACTAGTGACAAACAAAGGAGAAGCAACAGATAGTGAGAAAAGCAACAAAAGAAGAATGTTGGTTACCTGACCAGGCATGACCTCTCCATTGATGCCACTAATGTTAATACCGGCATATAGGCAAGCTTTGTAATGTGCATCAACTACATCACGGCCAAAAGATTTGTCAGCACCCGCCGAACAGTAGTAGGGACCCTGTTACAAAATTCGAAATATATGAAAAAACATCAGTAGAATTGATATTTTGTAGCCTAAAATTAGCTGCAACATAAATAATATCCTTTTTTGCAGAAGATAACATTCAAATACAACAAGCCTTTGTCCCACTACGCGGGGTCGCCTACATGAATCCTTTTTCTCCATTCTATCATGTTAAAAATCAAATTCTCATTTAAATCTAATAAAGAAATATAATTTATAATATTTTCTAACGAAGTCTTTTCAGGTCTACCTCTACTTTTCTTAACATAAGTCAAATCTAATACCTCTACTTTCCTAACCGGGTCATCGGAAGGCCGCCATTTTATATGACCAAACCATCTAAGGCGACTCTCTCTAATATTATCTTCCAGTGGAGCTACTCCAACCTCTTCACGTATATGCTCATGAAATTGAAAATTAAGTGTATGAGGGGAATATGATCATCCAAGAACTACAATGAAGATGGTTAAACTGACAAGATATGCATGATGCATGCTAAGAGCCAAAGCCAAAAAAAAAAAAAGCTAAGAGGAAAAAGTTTATATATCTTAGGGTATACTACTATTTAAAAAATGGCTTAAGATCAAATCATACTTTAAAAAACATTTCAGTTCATACTTTGTAGAAGAAAAGAAAATATAAAGGCTGAAAGGTGTATGTTAACAGATATAGGAATTTAAGTATATCACTGTCACCTGAGGACCAGGGTACCCCCCCACAGGCCACCCAATGGGCCAATTGACATCTTTTTGAAGAAGGGTGTACTCTTGCTCAATTCCATACCTATAAATTTGAATAGCAAAACATAAAGAAATTAATACAAAACATTATTGACAGAAACATAGATGGTCAATAATAACTAAGACAAAATTAAATGATTATATTTCTACCAAGTCTCTTCAGCAACTACATCAGGGTGGCTGAAAATTTTAGCCGCATTATATCTTTTGTTGGTGGGGATTGGCTCTCCAGCTGGTGTGTAACAGTCACACATGACCTATATGTACAGAAAAAGCAACAATACACCAAACAAAGATGAAAATCAACAACTTCAATGAGAAAAAAAATGAAAATTTGAATTGCAAGACAACTGGTTTGGTGAACATCACATAAGTATTTTTACAATTTTTTTAGATAGTTAGAGGGAGTGGTTATTTCATGATTAATTTGCAAAATAAGAAAAGGTCAAATTTCTGTATCAGATGGGCATGCATGATCAAAACAAAATTTCTGACTTCCTTTCTAACACATGAAAACACAAGTTTGCAACCTTTCTAGGAGAGATTATTACGTGCGGTGTCCGGACCATCCGGAGGCAAATCCGGACACGCCACATCACCCGGATGCACTGGGCCCCGGGTGACGTGGCACGTTCGGATTCACCTCCAGACGAATCCAGATGCCGCATGTAATAATTTTCCCCTTTGAGAGATTATTACGTGCGGTGTCTGGATCGTCCGGAGGCAAATCCAGACGCGCCACATCATCCGGATGCACTGAGCCCCGGGTGACATTTAGCAGGATAATAATTTCAATAAGTTTGGATGATAAATATTTCACAGAAACTCAGTCTCTCCATATGCAGCATATAAACATACAGGTTGCTCTTCAATTATAAATCATAAAATCTCACAAAAAATTACATATGAAGCACATCCAGTTGTTGCTAAGATTAACAAACTATGGTAAAAGGAAATACAAACCAATAAAAGCTCTCAGATAGAACTAGAAGATTAAAAAAACTTACAAGAATGTTGTTTCCCCTCCTGAATGGATCCTTAAAGATAGCCTGAGGGCTGCAAATTTCAAAGGAGATATTTTATCATACAATATAGCACAAATTATGCATTAAAGAAAAAAGCATAAAAAAACAAAAGAATATTAAACGAAATAACAATATCCAACCATAATATTTGTAAAAGCACAAGGAAAGACGAAGAACTTACTACAAAATCACTTCACTATCCTTCCCGGGAGCTTGGCCAGTGCTCGAGCCATCATAGTTCCATTTAGGTATCTGTACGTGTGGTGTCCGAACCATCCGGAGGCGAATCCAGACGCGCCACATCACTTAGATGCACTGGGCCCCGAGTGACATTTAGCAGGATAATAATTTCAGTAAGTTTGGATGATAAATATTTCAAAGAAATTCAGTCTCTCCATATGCAGCATATAAACCTACAGGTTGCGCTTCAATTATAAATCATAAAATCTCAAAAAAAAATTACATAGGAAGCACATCCAGTTGTTGCTAAGATTAACTAACTATGGTTAAAGGAAATACAAACCAATAAAAGCTCTCAGATAGAACTAGAAGATTAAAAAAACTTACAAGAATGTTGTTTCCCCTCCTGAATGGATCCTTAAAGATAGCCTGAGGGCTGCAAATTTCAAAGGAGATATTTTATCATACAATACTGCACAAATTATGCATTAAAGAAAAAAGCATAAAAAAACAAAAGAATATTAAACGAAATAACAATATCCAACCATAATATTTGTAAAAGCACAAGGAAAGACGAAGAACTTACTACAAAATCACTTCACTATCCTTCCCGGGAGCTTGGCCAGTGCTCGAGCCATCATAGTTCCATTTAGGTATCTGGCTTGGATCAGTAACGGGTCCCGGAAGAGTCTGTTGCATAAAAGAATTCCAATATCAAGGATATGCTAGAAAATATGCAAAGATTAACAAGGGCAAATAGCAAAGGCATAATAGTAATATCAAAATTCAAAAGGCTGAAAGATTTTACCCTTGCTTTGCTCCTGATATCCAGACCAGATCCCCCAATCCTGTGAATCACAGAAGAAAAAAATGGATGTGAACAAAAAGCGTAGAATCATTACTAATATGAAGCAAATAAAACAAAGAATACTGAAAAGATGTTAAAAAAATGTAAAAAAAAAAATAAAAAAAAATTTGTGAAGCAAAAGGACAAGAGGAGATAAAGCAAGAAAACATAAAATAACAAAAAGGACTCGATTTTGAAGTTCTGAAATAGAACAACTGAGACAATCCAAGGCTAAACGCTGAAATACACTTTAGGCCCCATTTGATTGTCTAAGGAAAAAAAAAACTTAAGAAAAATTGTGAAATTTACTGGTTCCATCATTTAGTTGTCGGGTCACGAAGATCAACATTGGCTTTAATCCTTACAATCCCTCTTAAAACTTCTATTAATATACTTATTTCGACTTCACAAACAAAATGAGCCAAAACTAAATCATCATTTTTCAAAGATCGTTTCTATCTACAAGCATCTAAATGAATCTTCAAAGAAAAGAAGTAAAATAGTAATAATTCGTCAAACAGACGTTCCAAGAGAAAACCCCAGCGCAAGCAGAATCGCCAGAAACAGACATGGAAGCAAAACAATAAAATAAAAGAAAAGAAAAGAAACTAAAAAGGAGACAGCTTTATCAAAAAAAAAAAAAAAAACCCAAACGATCCCTAGAAACCAGTTTTTCCAATCAAAAAACATTAGCAAATGGAGGGATAAAAAGAAGAAAGAGATATCAACTTGAAAAGAAAACATACCAAATATACTCGACGATAATCTTCTCCGTGTGTTCTGTGAGGTTGAGGTTGAGCAAATCGGTAAGCAGCGACATGGCGGCAAGAGAGCGCACAGAGATAGAGAGTAAGAGAAGGATAAAGAGGGAGACAGAACTTCGCCCCTACCAAAACCCCAGACCCTGTGGAGGAGAAGAACAGAGCAATCGGTGTTATATAACCGATATTTCGGACATTTTCGTCGTTTTATTATAAGAATTAACAGATTTTAATATATAAAAGTTTATATGGCTAGAGTTTCAAAAGCAAGAAGTTGATGATAATGGTACTTTTAAAAAAATATTAATTTTTTTGGGTATATTTATGATTGCTATAGTTTTTATAAATATAATTATAATTAGATTATGTGGGTATCTACCCGTTGTCACCCTTTTATGATACACTTGACGGCGTAACTAATCCCTCCACGAATCTAGAGGCAGTCAATCCACAGACGTCAGGTCCACACTTAGGCTTTGTTTGGGATAAAATTCTTATCAATTCTTAAAGCAATTTTTTATATTAAAAAAATGTTTTAAAAAGTGATAAGAAAGTCGTCCCAAACGAAGCCTTAGTGCCCCTTCAAAGGAGGTGAGCTGCTAGGGAGAGGAGTCGAACATGAGTTTGAGGTTCTCAATCATGCTCGCCCACCGACCAAACTAAACTCTATGGGCCATTCAAAAATTTTTACTCAAACTTTTTTTAATTTAAATATAATTTATATTTGTAAATGGGGGATTTTGTTTTGTTTGATTTAAAAATAAAAGCAATTCTCAACCACAATTTGGTGAGGATAAACGTTCAGATTACGTTATGAATCCACTTTATATTTGCAAATTGGAAATTTCGCTTAGGGTCCTAAGCTTGACCGATATGCAACCGGCTGAGCAGGTTAAAGAAAAAATTGAGATGAACTGAAGTCAAAATATCGCACTAATATTTGTTCTATCCCAACCGTTATATGGATAGTTGCTTAAATTTGATTATTTTGCGGGTTAAGATTATTTACTCATATTTTTACACAAATTATGATGATTCTGGATTCGTTTGGGGTGGCTTTCTTTTCATAATAATTTTTTAATACCGACAATTTTAATTAAAAAAGTTATTTTAGAAAACACTAAAAAAGTCGTCTCAAACCAAGGAATTTTTATTAGGTCTGGACACCTGACGTAGCTCTACATCCGGACGCCAATAAAATATCGCCACATGCTCTTACTCTTTATTGCACGGCCCGACGACCTGACCCGGAACGAAAACCCGGTATTGCTATGTTCATGCATTGCTAGGTATTGCTCGGTATTGCTAGGTATTGCTTGGCAATAACGAGAAATACTGCTATGTCAAGACCAATACCGAGCAATACCTAGCAAAATCGGGGTATTGCTTGGTATTGCTAGGTATTGGTCTTGACAGAATGGTATTTCTCATTATCGAGCAATACCGAGAAAAATCTAGCAATTCCCTGGTCTGTACAAATCAGCTAATACATAGCAATATTGGGTTCTGGTCCGAGTCGGGACGTCGGGCCGCGCGGTAAATAGTAAGAGCACGTGGCGACATTTTATTGGCGTCCGAATGTAGAGCTACGTTAGGTGTCCAGACCTAATAAAATTCCAAACGAAGCCACTTGAAGGATTGTTTTTAGAATACTCATATCATTCATAGCCTTATTATGTGACAAAAAAGGATGAGAGCCAAGAATAAGAGAGAAGTTTTTAGAATTGAAAGTTTTGAATTTTTACTAAGGATTGTTTGGTTTGCTAAAAGGGTAGAGTATAAAAGAATATACTATAAAATCAATGCAATGTATCTGACGTGCTTTCGAGTTATTTTGATGAGTATAGAATAAATGCAAGTAATTATTCCTTTATTTTAGCTTTAAGAAAAATGAATGTATGATAAAATCTAATGATTGTGATAGCATGGGATGCAACAAGTGATATTGGCGGCAACGATTAATGGAGGAAACAAGGAGGAAGACAAGTGGTGGTAGTCAGCGATGACAACAGAGGGTCGATGGCAAGCGATTGTTGCAGACGGACGTTGACGACAACGACATGCATTATGTGGCTGTGAGGGACAACGGTCAATGGGCATTGATTAAGGTGGCGGAGGGTGGCCGCGACATCAAAGACAAACAATTTATAGTGTATTTTAAACTTAGCTTAATCTAATGATTTCTAAACACACCAAAATTGAACTAGAGGAAGAATTTCAAATAATTCAAAACTTTAATTTACTCTGCATTTCTTTTACTTCAAACCTAACATTAATATTTCGTATTTAGAATTATTTACATCTGTTGCGTCCTGGAATATTCGCGGCGGTAGAGAAATATATAGTTTAACGTCTTAGCGTTGTACGAAGATCCAGCACACAAATCAGATAAGTGAGAGAGTGTAGCGTTCATAAGAGACACCAAAGTTTTTACGTGGAAAACCCCTGAAAAAGGGGAAAAAACCACGGGGCCTGGCCCGGTTTGAATGAATCCACTAGTATTTGTAGTCGATTACAAATGAGGCCCTTCCTTAGGAGAAGGCCTTGGATTGATGTAGCAAATGTACATCATATAGATTGCATTACATGGTAAGAGTTACATATACAGGTTTGTTTGGCCTGAAGGACCATGGTCGGCAGGAGACCGGAGTCGGCAG